GTGATAATATCGTATCGTGAGTTGTATGGTGATTCCCACCTCTACTGCATGGGTGCATAGACAACCAGGTAAAAACTGTGAAGTGAAACTAATGTGAAGAATTGTTTGTGTTGTTTACTGAACAAACAAAAGTTTGCTGATGCCACTGTGCCGACGATGTGCACGTTTATTTACGTAAAAATTAATATGGGTTGTGGGGATTGAACTTTGGCCTCTAAAGTGAGGCATGGCAGGAATTTAAGAAGCACTGCTCTAAACAATGTAAGTTGGTGGTCCAACTCTGAAGAGTTGTTTGAAATATACAAACGTTGGTGATCCCATGACGTGAGCCAACAGACAGTCAACAGTTCTGGTTTGGAGAGACATCACAAAAGGTATCGGCTGTGACGCCATTAAATTTCAAAGAGAGACCTTTTGAGGAACCGTCGTTGTCTACCGGGTACCTTTTAATCTTTCCATCGTTTTTGTTTCTAAACATTTAGTTAAAGAATTTTAGACTTATTAGCTTTAATATTTGTCATTTTGACCATGTTGTGTGTGTGTGCTGGAATGGCTTGGATTTTGTTCATTGTTACAACTTTTTCTTAAACCAAAAGATTAAAGAAATAAACATTTAGATTGAAATTCTATTTTAGGTTTATTAGGTTTGGTGTTGAGCCATGTTTTCGTGATAGTAACTGGGACCAGGAAGCATTACCAGTATGATCTGTATTGTTGACTGGCACTCCTGCTCGCAGAAGCTCCAAGACCACTCTGTCCAGCCCACTACGCACTGCTCGGATCAGAACCACAGACCCATCTGGGCCGCACCACTCTGCAGACTGCCAACACAACCAAACCACAATGATGAGACACATAATCAATACAAACTCTGTCATAATGCCCTTTTTTAATTTATTTTAAAGAAAAGTTTAAACCTCCTTTTCTAAAATCTTGTTCTAAAGTCAAAACATAAAAAAATCTTCTTAAGTAAAACATGAAACTAAATACACCATCAGAATCTCTCTACAGTCACAGGGCAAAAACTGTTTAAATTCCTGGCATATAATGGCTTCTCGAAACATTGACTTGTGGCTGTATCCCAATTCAGGGTCTGCAGCCTTAAAGGCCGCATTTTAAGGCCGATTACGTCACCGCGACGCGACGAAGGCTGTCCCAATTCGAAGGCTGCTCGAAATGCGGCCCTCAAATGCGTCCTTCATTTCCCTGAATTTTAAGGACGTGGCGGTGTAGACTTCGTGGCCCAACATATCCCAGAATGCATAGCGCGGCGGTGGGTGGGGATAATTTTGCCGAAAAAAACGGCGGATGAGGGGCGCCCGAAGAGTAAACTTTAAGTACTGAATATTATGTCGCTTATTTATGTGCAAATGTTTAATAATGAAGAACATTAAAACATTACTGTTGGCCACATGTCGGCAAAGTTATGTGACATTAGTGACGTTTGTACTAATTTGGTTTTAAAGCCTTTACTTTAAAATATACGCCGTTCAATAGCTGAGCTTAATCTTACAGAGAATGATCAAAGCTCATGTAGAAACAAACAAACAAATGAACAAAAGATTTTCTCCTTCATTTCTGTCAAACAAAGCTGTATGAAACGTTTCCAGCTGTTAGTATCATGGTTGCTAGGCAACCTGGGCAGCGCAACGGAGGCTAGACCGTCCCATTTCACAAGCCTCGCACTTCCGGCCTTAGCGGTCTTTGAGTACTTTAAGGCTGCAGACCCTGAATTGGGATACAGCCATAATGAAACTGACCTGCTGAGGAGGACTGAGCAGAGGAGGAGGCATGGCATTCCTCTCCCAACCTCTAGGTGGAGCTGAGGGAAAGCAAGCAACATTTCAGGGTTAAGGACGTTATAAAAACAGGAAATGTATAGCTGAACATTTTATGTCCCAAAATGCAATTTCGTGCTGCAAAGTGTGTTTGTATGAATCCTGCTTTACTATAAACTTTATTACTTTACTTTATTAATCACTTTATTCACTTTACAACAATAGTCTGTGAGTTTAGCTGTGAGATACCGAAGATACTAAATAGAGTGATTCTGGGTCTGACAGTGAATACAGTTTGACTTTCAGCTTTGTATGTGTGACATCTGCGGTGAAATGTTCAACCTATAGGTGCAACAAATTATTATCTTTAATAATCACCTGGATAAAAATAGCTTAAAGCTCCCAAGTTTACTTTAATATTTTACTTTGAGCAACTACCAAAGCAATCAAATGCAAAAATATCAAACAAAAAACATTTTGGAGAAACTGGAAACACAGATTTGCTCTTTGAATCATAACAGTGATCTTTTCTGCTGCTGAGGTCAAGCAGAAACCAGCATTTTGTGACTACAGTTGAATAATGACAGATTTGATTACAATATCTGCCATATTCTTTACAGCAATAGAATTTGTGGTATATAGAGATTACTAAGCCAGATAGTCAAGCAACTGAGACCAAATCCTGATGTTTCCTTACACTGTATAGCTCTGCGGGGCTGAGCGGCTCCAGCACGGTAGTGTTTCTGCTCCTGGGTCCTGTGGTCACAGATGGAGGCATCGTCCTGACGTCTGGAGCATCTCACACTGAGGTCCTCCATTGAACTCTGGGTAAAGTCTGTGTCGCTTCCTATATCCTGGTCCCTCTTAAGAGGCCTGAAAACCAAAGCACAGTTTTGATACGGCACACTGAAAACTGCAGTGAATTTCATGTGGGCACATTGTGTTTTCATGTCCTTTGCTTTACTTTCTTATTTTTCAGCACAGTTAAGAACAATAATATATTATGTAAAGATCGGCTGATATGAAACAAAGGTATTCATGCAGAAATGAAGAGGATATCACTGGGATGTCTGAGGTCCAGAAATATTAACTGTTCCAGTTTTCACCATAAGCCCAGTACTATATCTTAACTATGGGTACAGTTATTGATTATATGCTGTTTTACCTAAGCTTTTGATTATATTCTGAGGTTAATCAAGACTTAAGTAGAAAATATATAAGTTAAAACATATTTAAAAATGCCCTCTATAATTTTCTACATCAAATACAATGTTTAACTTGACTAAAAACCAGAAATTGATTGATTTGATTTGATTTGATTTGATTTGATTGATTAGCATTCAAATATCTCAGTGAAGACAGAATAAAGATTACCACAATGCAAGAAAGCATGAGACAAGGCT